ATTGACCCTCTTGGCCACCTGAGCACACTGCTGGCTCATGTTCAGGCGGCTGTCAACCAACACCCCCAGGTCCTTTTCCACCAGGCAGCTCTCCAGCCACTCCTCCCCAAGCCTGTAGCGTTGCATGGGGTTGTTGTGACCCAAGTGCAGGACCTGGCACTTAGCCATGTTGAATCTCATACAATTGGCCTTGGCCCATTGATTCAGCCTGTCCAGATCCCTCCATAGGGCCTTCCTACCCTCAAGCAGACCAACACTCCTGCCCAACTTGGTGTCATCTGCAAACTTTCTGAGGGTGCAGTCAGTCCCCTTGTCCAGATCATTGATAAAGATATTAAACAGAACTGGCCCCAATATTGAGCCCTGGGGAGCACCGCTTGTGACTGGCTGCCAACTGAATTTAACTCCATTCACCACAACTCTTTGGGCCTGGCCATTCAGCCAGTTTTTTACCCAGTGAAGAGTATGCCCATCCAAGCCATGAGCAGCCAGTTTCTCCAGGAGAATGCGGTGGGAAATGGTGTCAAAGGCTTTACTAAAGTCTAGGCAGACAACATCCACAGCCTTTCCCTCATCCACTAAGCAGGTCACCTTGTCATAGAAGGAGATCAGGTTAGTCAAGCAGGACCTCCTTTTCATAAACCCATGCTGACTGGGCCTGGTCACCATCATTCATCAGTCAAAAGAAACTTTAGAACAATGACTGATCTGCAAGGGGGATTTATCAGAGCCTGCAAAACATGCAGATATGCATCATGTGAAGCAGTCTGGTGTACTACACTTCCCCTATATCAACTGCTGACTGGGTGCATGCCTGAGAGACATTGCTTGCTGACTGAATAAGAGGCTGAGAAATACTGGGCGCCAAATGAAGAGTTAGCTAAGGACCATGACAGCACACCATGTGCAGCATGCTCAGGAGCAATGCTAAGACCAGGTGTTCCACGTAAGGTGAAAATATAAAATGGGACAAAAGGACTTGCAAGGTGGGGAGTGAGGCTGACAGAGAAGACAGGGCTGGAAAGCTAAAAATGTTGCCATTGGAGAAGTTAACTGTTAATCTTTGTAAAGACCACTCTTCCCTGGAGTTGTGCATCACTGACTTGCACTGCAGGGAGCCAGAAATGAGGTGGAAGTCATTTAGCTTAAGTAGAAGATAAAACACAGTGGCAAAAATAGCATGAGCTCTCTGTCTGTAGAATGGAGATTAGCAGCATTGCCTTAAGGAGATACAGACATTAGAGATGTGAGATGAAATACAAAACCAACGGTTCCAGAGTAGACTCACAGATAGATAAGGCAGTGGAATTATGATAGTGAGAAACTGAAACACGCAAGAGAGCTCCAGGAAGGAACCTAGCCACTGTTTTCAAAAAACTCCAAGTATGCTCCATGCAGTGCCTCTTTTGGTGATATCCACCTACTGGGATATAATTTCTTTGGAACACAAGATTTGCATGGCCCTTGCAGATGAAATCAGGAAATGGGTGAGGGAGAGATGAAAGAAAAATGAAGCTATTTACTTTTAAAAATGCCTCCAAAGATATGACTGTGCAAATTACACGTTTCCTTTTCTTTGTCCTCTCCTTTCTTATGTGGAGGAAAAATGTCCATGTCCAGGAAGAATAGCATGTAGGAGGAAATATAGCTCTCACAGTATGAAGTCAACCTCCAGCAACTGCAGAGGAGTATACAGGGAGGTAATCATGGAAAGACTACAGAAGGTAGCACTGAAGAGAGTCAGGCAACATCCTGACCAGGAGCAAAGAAAAGTCAAGTCCATCTAGGGACAACAGTTTTCATGTATGAGGAGTCTGGGAGGCATTTTGGAGACAAGGGATGGCAAAACTGACCAGATGCATCAAAAGGGGGAGTTGATTTTATTTTTCAACTTTCAGGTCCTGGATACTAAGGTAGGAAAATAGGCAGAAGACCGAAGTCTGTAGTGAAGGGTTTCATGAGGCTCAACCAGGCTCCATAATCCTCCTGGACAGGACAGCAGTCTGTTCAGTGACAGTCCAGACCCTGAGCTGGCAGTTACCCCTCAACCAGACATCCCAACACACCCCACCCTTCTTTCTTTTCACTCTGGAATAACTCCAAGTTGTACTTCTCCAGGAGCACCCTTCAATGTACAGTTCCCTCTTACCCTCAGGTAGCTCTGGATCAGAAGACTCTTGCTGGGGTTTGGAATCTTTTCCTCCCACATATGCTTCTTCCTGCAACAACAACACAGAGGTTTCAGGTTTTGCTTCTCAACATGGCTGCAGCCAGAAAAGACTGACTGCACCCCTTACACCATGCTGCTTTGCACAGTGAGGCACCACCAGGGCCCTGGCATGCCCCCACCCAACTCTCACCCTTGCACAGACATGCACAAGGCTGCCCATTGCACACGGAGGCTCATCTCCACAGGGACCTCTCTCTCATGGGGACAAGAAGTGCCTCAGTTTTTATGCCACCCACATGGCCAACACGCTGCTAAATCTCCTAGTCACAACGCAAGCCTACCTGAGGAAATACTTATAGCTGCAATAAGCAACTGTTAGCAAAGTGATGATGAGAGCTGGGAGCATCACTGGGAGAACCACTGGTGAGAGAACTGAAACAGAGAAAAGAGAAACAGGTATGCACCTGCAGAGGGGCTGCTTCCCGTAACAGGTTTTTCACTCTGGTCTCTCTTCATGCAAGCAGATCAGGGAAATGCAGGTGGCAGGTCAAGGGACAGGATCGTGAGGCTTTCACGCTGTTGGGATACCCTCCAAAGTGGGAGAGACCAAACGTGGGCCAAACAGCTTAGTAACCAAAGGAGTTTGTCCTTTCCTCTACTGATTCTTGTTCGTTTTTTACTGACATCAGAGGAAACAATTTATGCTAGTAAAAAGATGGTTAGGTACCTTACTCCACCATGAACAATAGCCACGTCTTCAGGCACCTTAGGTCTGCCTTACTCTGTACAGTCCTGAAGAGATGGGGTCTCAGAGATTTTCAAAGAGCGAGCTTCCTCTGCTAATGGCCATAACTGATCGTCAACAACATACCAATTTCTTCCAGAGTACACTCATCAAAATTTGCCAGCTGTCTTAGCACTACAAGGTTCTTCAGGACAAATCACATACGATCATACTACTTTGGGCACAAGACCATACTGACAGGAGGCATTCTGCCTCTAAGTCCAGAAACAGCAAAAACGTGTAAAGGTTCCTATCTATCTCCAGTGGACTCTACTGTGGGTCTTACGCAACCCTATAGTCACTCAGCAAATATAAAAGACTGATGGCTTATATTCTGTCTTCTTGCAGTCCTGGGCTCTTCAGTCACTGGTAGCAGAATGGAATTCTTTTGGGCAGGATCTTTGCTTGATTCTCCATGTGGAAACCTTTATGGTTGGTTGTACTCACCTTGTGAAGGGAAGTAGGAGAGAAGCTTAAAAGGTCATCCCTGCTCACCTCCTTCCTTAGCATTGCGGCTTTACTGCAAGGATGCAGACAGCACAGCTGCCTTGTAAAGCAACCCCAGCTAGCTCATGGCTGGACCAAACTTCAACCCCAGCTGAGAGAATGCATTTTTCTATAGAGGCATCTCAACCATTAACCGTGTACAAAATCTTACAGAAGTAGCCTGCATGAAAAGTACCATTCTCTGTCTTCCAGGTGAACTCCTCACTCCATTCACTCCAAGGCCCCTCGTAATATTCATGCATATTCACCCTTGCACGCATTTTGCCCCTATATTCTGTAGATGATGCCAGCATCTGTGGGGTGAAGATGAAGGGAGGTTCATCACTGCTGATATTTAGCTTCTGGACAGTCTGGGGAAAAGAAAGAAGCACAAACGATGAAGATGAGAGGAACTGTCTTTCCCATTTGCCCAGCAAAGAGAAATCCAGGACTCCTGCACCTTCTAAGACTTACCTTTTCATATTGATTGTTTTTCCAGTACTCAACTTGGTATCTCTGTTTTATATTGCCATAAAACAAAGTGTGTTTTATCCACCCCAGTTCATACTCTTGGCTCTCTGTCACTGTTACTGACACATTTGCAGGCGGCTGCACCTTAACTGGAACACACGGAATGTCTCAGAGTATTTATCAACATACTGGTCCAGCACTCCCTCTCACCACTGTGAACAGTTTCCAGAGACTGAAAACAATGTTGGTTTATGCAATGTAAGAAGTCTCAGCTTTTTAACACTTCTTAATCCCCCGCATCTTCATTTTCTAGTCAAATACAGTAAACCAGTAGACCATTAAATAACAGAAAATCCTTATCCATTAATATTGACAGCACTCCCTGTGTACAGAAAAGCACTAAAGCAATATTTGCAACATCTGTGCTGGTCCACCACATTTCCAGAGATTTTTCAGCTCTGTTGGAGCTACTACCTGATCCTTTTGTCCACTGCAGGAGCTCTCCCAGCTTTAGTCCGTGAAAAGCAGCACCAGTACCCCCAGATACATGCAGGCGGAGATGATCCTCCTGGCACACCTCACTCAGCAGAGGAGTCCTACCTCATCCAGTGCTCCAGGAGCCACTGCACAAACCCACAAGAGCGCCAGTGGCTTCTTGAGAAATCCCATAGTGACACATTCCTCCCAAACACCTCTCACCACAGCTTCCCGTCACCTGGGACACTCATGAAGGTCAATCACAGAGCAGTCAGCAGGGTGACAATCGCTCACTGCAAAGCTCTGGGTCACAGCCTGAATTTCTGCACAGCGGTTTCCACCACTGACACCTTCCTCAGAGTAACAAGTGCCGCTGAGGAGCTCCACACCTGCAAGCCACCTCTCCCAGACCTCTGACCTGACACAGCATCCAGTTCCTTACTTCATCAGTCCCGGTCTCTTCCTCTGCCCACACGCTTTTCCTCACCACCGCTGTCCTCAGCCTCACTTGCCCAGACAGGCATCTCTCCAAGAAACAACCAGGAGAAGCAGGAAACAACACAGCAACTCACTGTTCTTGTAGGCTTCAATCAGTTTCTCCTCTGTCTTGGGCCAGACAGACACATGGTACTGGCTGTGACTGCTGGGGTTGCTAACAGGGATCTCACAGCTCTGGACCACATATGGGATGTGGGGCAAAGCCTTCTCGTTTACAGGAGAGCACTCCTCTTCTCTGAGGGGAGAAAAAGAGGTTGAGCCGAGATCAGTGGGAATGGGACCGAGCAGAAACTCCATGGGAGAGGCACAGGCACGCTGCCATGGGCAGAGCACGTACGCTGATGCCGGAGTGGCCCTGAAGAACAAGCCAAAGAGGACAGAGGTGGTGATCGCTTTCTTCACTTCCCAGCTGCACGTCAGACGATCTGCACCGTTGAAGAGGCAGCGAAGGTTCCTGGGCTGAAGGCCACCTTCAGAGCAGATGAGAGCAAGCTAAGTGACAGGAAAGGTCTGGCTTCTCAGCCAGCGCTTCCACCCCTGCACAGCCCCACTCCATCCCACGCTACCTTCAGGGGTCTTCCACGACACCTCTGCGCTCCACTCGCTGTACTGCCCAGAGAAGCCACTGGCCCGCCCCGGTCTGGCTCGCACACGGGCAACATAGCTGCTCTCTGGGACAAGGTCCTTGCGGCTGAGATGGCAATGTGTGGTGTTGGAGAGCAAGAGTGAGGCAGCTTTCTGTTGTGTGCTCGCCGAGAGAAGCCACTGGCCCGCCCCGGTCTGGCTCGCACACGGGCAACATAGCTGCTCTCTGGGACAAGGTCCTTGCGGCTGAGATGGCAACGTGTGGTGTTGGAGAGCAAGAGTGAGGCAGATTTCTGTTGTTGGGTGAAAGGAGGGAGAGATGGGAGGGAGGAAACTGGGGACTTGGGGATATGCATGCTTAAAAAATTTTTAAAAAAAGTGCATCCTTCTGGCATGGGAAGCAGCTTCAAATGTATTTTGCTATTTTCCCACATGAACCCACAGCCTCTTGTTGGAACGTGCTTTAATTCCATTTGGGAGGCATTCATGGCAAAATCATTTCCAACCCAAAACCCAAGTGCAGTGCTTTTTTTCAGTGAAGAACAGATCTTTGCATCCAGTTCAGGACAAATTGTATTTCACTGTGCCAGTCACTTGCAAACAGAAAGAGAGCCCCTTCCGCCTGACCTGAAACAACATTTGTTGCATATCCTCATAGTGCCTGAGAACGGAAAGGCCATTCGTTTGCACAATGTTTACCACAGGCTCTCAACCGCCCCAAAGGGTGCAGCCCAAACCAGAACAGCCCGAGTGCTCCGCTCTTACCTCCCAGGACTCCCAGTCCCGCTTGTAAGTGACTTCATACTCCAGTGCATTGCCCAGCCCTTGGCTTCCATCAGCTGCTTTCCAGGTCAGCAAGAAGTCTCCTGATATCATCAACCTGACTGAGAGGTTTTGAGGTGGGAGGGTCTGAACTGGAAGGTGAAGGTACAACCCATGAGATAAGATAATGAGGACAGGGACGGGAAGAGGGGAAGAAAATGCCTAGCTGATATTCTCTGAATGACAGAATCTGGATATTTAACAATTTCCCTGGATTCCTACAAATAATCCATGATTCTTTTTCACCACAAAGTGCAAACTCTACAAGACCTGGGAAATATATTCATGAACAGAAGACGAAAGTAGGGAGAGCAGTGCTGTTTTGTAGCTGTATAGCAACTTTGCGAAAGAATGTGCTGTAATGCATGTAGGCCATGGTGCTGAAACAGAAGACTTTTTTGATATCTTCCCCCAATCCCAATCAAGATACTAGTTAGCTGGCAGATCTACCCCCATTTTTTCCATTGCAGTCATTGAAGACTCATTTTTGTCTATCCCAAATGCACTGAATTTAAATGTGTTAGTATGGTCTTATAGCCATTTAACTTCACTCTTGCTTGCATTGCAGGTTAAGGGCTGACCTAAGTATCTTTTTAGGATTAGATATCCAGTACATTAATTCAAAAAACTTTTAAATACTGAAGAATAGAGACAAGACTTAGTGGTTCATCTTCACCATTCTGAAACAAGTAGACATTTAGCTCTGCTTGTAGCGTCACGTCAAATTTGAAGTTGTAGTTTTCATCATCATATCCATGGATGTCACACGCCCAGTGCATTGTGAAGTTCTGGCAGTCAGTGTGGTTTTCACCTTTGTGGGACCTGCAGGTCATTTCTTTGTTCCTGGTTACACACAAAAAAGCATGACTGTCTCAATAGGATGCTGCTAGATGGCCCAAAGCATGGTTTCTGAAACCTTCCGCACATGCTATTTTATTCTGTTTTTAAATCAATGTTTATCACTGCATTATGTTGGCATACTCCTGTAGTTCATTAAGTGACATGAATAAATTCTCTAATATCAAGCACATCTGCTTTATTCTCTCTTCCTTTCCTTAAAGGAGCCACAATAACTGTCTTGGGTTGGTAGGTGTCTGGGCCCTGAACACAACCTCTTTCACGCCCTGCCCCCCACAAGGGGTTTGGCTACCCATGCTCAAGGCTGTCTAAGATGGAATCAGCCTGACTGAGGGCCTCCTCATCTTCATTCAGAAGATGCTTTTAGTTTCAGACCCTTGCCTTTGGTCCTTGCCTGAGCTATGATGCAGCCATATCTGTCCCTGGTGATACATGTTGCTGATTGTAATCCATGGAATTGACTTCCTAGCTTGACCTTAAACCTGGCTGCTGGATAAGGAATTCCTTGGGGATCTGGTCTGATGGCTGATCCTCATCACTCTCACTGTTCTGCTTTTCTTGTTACTGTGGGATTACGCCATTGTCAATGAGGTCAATGCCTTGCTGTCACCCTCAGCTCCTAACTCACCTTCCCTTAGCAAGCAAAGCTTGTTGCTTCTATAACGGTAGGGTTGGCAGTTTACATGTATACATATGTATGTTATGCTATGCTTACACTAGAGAAGTCAAAGAAGGTAAGCCAAAGAAATGCAGCTAGCAGTTGGGACAGAAGTTTTGTGAGGACTATGGAACTGCAGTCCTCCTACAAAAAAAAAAAATTATTTCCATGCAGACTGTGGAGTCCTTTGTGCCACAAGAACGCTTCTGTGGTTTGTAGGCTTCAGTCCGCAGCAAACTGCTAACATCTGGAATGTGGTTCAATACTGTAGAGACTGCAAGGAACACCTTCTCCGTTGACTTCAACAGCTGTCAGGTCAACTCATGAATGAATCCTAGAGCTCTTTCTCAAAAATAAAACTGAGATAACTTCTTCCTATTCTTATTTCATGTTTCCTTCCCACCCTCCAATCTCTGTACTGTTTATGCCTCCATCTTCTACTTCTACTATTATTCTTTTTTCTCCTTCCCCTATCTCTTTTGTCTTCTTTGTCCCTTCCTCTCCCTCATACTCTGCAGTATGACTGTTCTGTCTTTTTCTTGAAAGGAAGCAGAAGTGGCAAAAAGATAGTGCAAGATGTAGCCTAGTATCTCTGAGAGGAAACCCAGTGAGTGAAACAAATACGTACAACTTCTGTTTTTCTCACAGTTTCTTTTGCAGGAATTGTTTCAACATAGCTATGCTCTTACTGGCATAAGGAAGAAGAAGCCTTCTTTGCCATTCTGATTAGTTATTATCACCACTGCATCTAGCGTAACGCATCCTTCTCCACTCAGGTTCAATAATTAACATGTCCTTCCATATTTTGTGTGTGCACTCTCACAGCAAAAGCAGGGGAGAGTGATTGAAAAGGTAATGGAAATTACTTGATAAGCATGCTCTTCTTCCTGTTCTTCCTCACCCTGTACAGATCCAACTTTCTCCCTAGCCTTGACATAACACTGGTTATGCATGCTGGATACTATGCTAGCTGCAAGCCCAGACCACTGTCTTTTTGCCCAGCTCTGTCTCTTAGGTTCAACAGCCAAGCCCCTTTAGACCCTTCACAGAACACCAGCCAGGTGCTTACTTTTCACTTCTGTTGCTAAAGTTCAGAGTCACATTCAGGAATTGATGAGCCTCTGAACACTCCATCCACATGCAAGTTGTAAGAGATAAGTAGTCGTTGTAACACTGTAGGGTCTGCATTGGGACGCTCTCTGAAAAGAGGAAACAATGAGAAGACAAATGGGGATAAAGAAGGTAGTGGGAAATGGTAAAATGAACACAAGTTCTGCTACTGTGCTGGAGAAGACAGAGACAGGGAAGTGAGGAGCTGGGTGATGAGATCTGCTGGGAATATCCCCGATGTTGTTCAGCTCATACTGCATGGATTTCACAAATAAAATTTGGCCCTTCATGGGAAAGCCTGAAGGAAAGAAGTCTCCAACAGCAGCTGCTGCTCGTAGAGTAGGCTGGACTGTCATGATGTTGCCATTTATCAGAATTTTATCATGAGTCTTAGGACTGAGAAAGCCTGAACTTTTTGACTCTGCTTGTTTGTAAATCAAAATGGTCATGCAAGAAAAGCAAGATTCTGGTCTACAACCTGTGAAGAAAAGCTGGGATTGTTTTGTAATAGGTAAAATTAATTTTCAAGAAATATTCTAATTCAAAAGATAAGTCCAAAGGGTTAAGCTTGATGTTTTTAAGCCTCATTAAACTTCATGCCTTTGAAGCAAAAGGGCCTCATAATACTGGCTAAAAGCTCAAACACATCTTCCCCTTTCTGTTCCCCACCCCCAGACAGGAATCACAGCCATTCTGATACAGTGAACTATGATCTAAGACTTCAGATTTTACCTCTGTTTCTCTTCCTGAACTGCAGAGGCCTGATGCTCCATGAAACTCCAACACAGATGGAAAGCTGGTCAAGCAAGTGTGAGTATAACACAGAAAGCCTAAAAGAGCAGCTCTCCCCAATGAGAAGCCTTTTGTCTCCTATAAATGATCTTTTGATATTCCCAGTAGGAGGAAATAAGAGTACCAAGACCAGCTGGGCAATGCTGAATGGGGATTTATTTAGCTGAGCACTCACATCAGCACCAGTGTCCTAGGATCAGCATAATTCTGAGTCCTGGCAAATCTCTGCATAGTCTTGCAATAAACAATGGTCCAAGCTGAATGGGGGGAACCCCAGAACCTAGGCAGTGTAGTGTTAACTTTTGTACCCCTTAATGACAGAAAGAATCTGGGAGACATTTAGAGAAACGACTTCTAAGAACGTAATTGTAGATTTTAAAAAAAGCCAGACAAATGCTCTCACCAGTTCACTGCTCTTCTAGCAGTCAAGAGATGTCTCAGTAGGAAGGCAGTAAGTGCAAGATATGAGTGAGCAATTTATTGTTTAAGGTAAAAAAACAGATGCCTCATTAAGCAGGACATTCAGCTTTGCTTTTGTGGGTTGTTGTCACAGTAGTAAATACATTCACGTGCCCGCCGAATAAGCCCACTTGCCTTAGCAAGAGTTATGCCTCTAGGAAGTCATAAGCAAGAGTTATGCCTCTAGGAAGTCATATGCAAGAGTTATGCCTCTAGGAAGTCATATGCAAAAGTGAGAGACAGCCACTCCAGTTAGCTACAATGACATTTAAGTCACAGAAAGGAGAAAGCTTTCTGACAAGGAAAACATATTTTAAAAATCTAGTGGCTGAAAAATTTGTGTCACTCTGTGAGTAAACAAACATACCTCATAAGTGGATTTGCAGAGAACCTGCTTTTCCTTTTTCTTTTGTGAAAAAGCTCTGTGCAAGGAGGAGCTGTGTCTGTTGAGGAAAGGTCACTGTTAACTTGGGAAAATGAATGTGCCCTTCCCTGAGAATTGAAACTCCAAGAACAGGTGCTGGAGTTGTCTCTGCTATGATGGGAACTACTACTGCTACCGAGGGTTAGCTTGGCTGAGAGCTCCTTTTTTCAGAAACAGCAGCCAAGAGACGGCGAGGAATGGTTTTGCCATTCCTAGCAGGCCTAGGGCAGCTGATGAGTAATCTTGCAAGAAACACCTGTGCCCAAACCAAGTTACTTTCAGGTCCAAAAAGTGAAATATGCTGCAAAGACAAGGTTGTTTCAGTCATCATAGGGTTATTGCTTGAGAAACCACAGAGTCCATGGCATTCAGTACTGTGAATCACATGTTAGGCGAGGGAGCATAATCCCCCCCACATACCAGAGATACGTGTCTATCTCTGGAAAGATAGATGTGCAACAGGTACATTTTTCAATACCTTTTATTTCAATACCTTTTATTCAATACCTCAGAGCCTCCAACACTTATGAGTAATGACTCAGTTCCTCACTCGCACAGGTGCTGTACCTCTGCTCTGCCAGCTGTGTTATCAACCAGCTCTCAGTTCCCTGTCTCTCAAGAAGCAGCCAGCCCTCGCTCTAACTCTAAAGAAAAGGAGAGTACCACTTGGAGGCAAGGCAAGACAAGTCAACAGACATAAAGAAGAGACACCTGTTGTTGAGGAAAAAAGGCAGGTTGGAAAAAAAGTGTTCTTTTCGTATAAACCAAAATGATATCTAACAATGGGACAGGCAATTCATACTGGTAACAGTCAGGCCTACTCAGACATGAAACTTCATGACTAGTCAATTTAAGTAAATATACTAACAGGCTTTGAACATTGTCTAGCCCATGAAGTTTGGGCTCTTGCCTAAATACCATTCACAACTCTCCCATTGACATACATCTGGAGTGTTTGGTATAGCCTTGGTGACTACATACATGTACACTCACAGAGTCTCCTTTCTGTCACCAAGATGAAAGTAGAAAATAAAGGGAGGATGGAGAAATATCAGGCTAAAAGAAAAGGAACAATAATAGAAAAGAAAGGAGTAAAAAATAGAGGCAAAGAGTCTTAAACTTACCTCGAATAGTCCCAACCCCCAAAACCAAGCATGGAGCCAGAAAAAGACCGATGAGCTCTCTCATCTTTACATCTTTGCACACAAGCATGATCTTATGTCAGGCAACAACTCCTTGCATCACTGGCTGTTATTCCTCAAATGCATGCTCAACAGCCACTGTTCTTCCTTCTTTGTCACCGGTTGTAGCTGAAAGCAAAATTCATGTGGTTAGCTGGGAGAGTCTTGGGTCTTCTGTTGGCCCCAAACCACTTCTTCCATCAACACTGACATGATCTTGCAGAGTAGCTTCATATGGAGATAATTTATTAATGGGAAAACTTTCTGCCTCTTCACCAGAGGACGAGGACAAAACTTGCTGTTTGGAAGTATTGACAGGATTTTCCACCTCCTTCCTTCACCTTAGGAGTAAGAAATAACCCCTAAGTTATGAGAAGGAATTAATGATCTGTGTTGATTCATCCATCTGATCCATACAAAGTACACCCTGCTGTTCCATTGAATCATGAACCTGTCCAAAAAGAAACACTTCCTTGCCTCTCTTACCACTCCTACTCACAAAACTGTACTTCTGGTGAATTAAGAGATCCAGTCCTCCTATTTCTTCACTTTAAGACCTGATTCACAGGGCTTTTAAGTCCTTGTTTGTTTGAGAAGAGAGAGCTCCTTGCCAATTCCTTCCCCACTGTAACACCACATTTGCCTTACCTGAATGCTGAGTGGTCTTCAAGGCAGGCGGTTCACAGCAAGTGGTGATTTGACTTTCTCATTTATCACTCACGTGGAGGCAGTGCAAATTCAACTGCCAGTGGGACACCCACAGCCCTACCCCTTCAAATGAGCCTGTGCTCTATTTCCCTTTCAGTTGTGCTGTTATAGCCTTCAGCAGCAGAGGCATGTTTGATTTATTCTCTCAGACCTTCCTGTTTGCAGCATAGGTCCAGCAACTAGGTTCCTGACCAGATGTCGTACAATTAAGAGGAAGAGGGAAGTACTTTTCACTGTTATATTTTGCTTAAACAATTTCTAAGAAATGCAACTAATTTTTCTGCAAATAAGATGTGATGATCTCTTAACAGAGGCTGCTTGTTCTCTTTTCTGTTGATCTGTACTCAAAACCTGTCCTTTAAACCATCATTCTCCTTCTGTGCAATGTTTTCTGAAAGGAAAATTCATTGCCATAAAGTCAAACAGTCATTAAATAAAACATTAGTTTACATCATGAATGTTGTCTTAAAGACACATTGCTATTCCTAAGCCTGACCTCTATAAAACTGTCTCCATCCAAATAGTAGCACTAAAAGCATGGATTCTGCTTAAACCAAACCCACACTGTTAAGGGATTAAAATTCAAGCCACAACCTGATTACACATTTTAATTTAAGTGATAATACCACTCTGCATCAGTAGAAGTGAGGAAAATACACTCAAATGGAGACAGTGTAATTTAACGTATATTTAGATCTTCTTTTTAATCTTAGGGAAAAAAGGAAGGGGAGTGGTGGCATTTAAAGAAGTGAGGCCTGTGAAGTTTCTTACTGCTTTCTCTAACCTAGACTACAGTCTCTGTGAAGACACTACTATAGCTTTGGGCAGTACCTTTATCAATTGAAAGTACCAGAGTTCAGGCAACTTTGGATTACATCCATGCACAATTTCTGTGGCAGCTGGAAGTGCATTAGGAAAATTTTTTAAAAGCTGAAAGAAAAGCAGAGCAAGCCAAAGAGAGGGAGAAGAAGGGAAAGCTACTTGGCAATAATTTTCAGGCCATGGTGTAAACGTGAACGTTGCACACAGTGTATGGACATGAGATTGAGACTGGAGACTTTTTGTCTTCACAGTCCCCAAAAGGCACACTCTCCTTCTCTTCATGCTTCTTTCACAGATAAAAAAAGAGGTGTAAGCTTATCCCTTCAGTTTCTTCTTAAGAGGCAGAACAATTATCCCACTTACATGCAGAGACCTTAGTGGATAAAAATGAGGATTGGTAGTGAATACCCATGAACTATGTCTCTTGAAACTTCAGTCATTCATAAGTAATTGCTTTTTCTTCTTTTCATGCTTGTTAAGCACACTCACACTGTGTGTGATTCCAAGCAATACTCTGTTACTTGTCTCACTTAATTTACTCCAGTTAGGTTTTGGCATCCCTAGACACAAAGGATCTACCTATCAGATGGAGTGCTTCTGCAATGGAGCAATGCTTGGTGAATGTGAGATTAAAGTTCCCTGGGATGAAACTGAGGCATGACTCTTCAGTGAAGCTGCTACAGTAACTTGAGCTTGCACAGAGTGCGACCAGATCAGTGATAGCAAATCCACCATGCTAGTCTCATAACAGAGTCTGACACCACCAGTTACCTTGTTAGTTTGCACAGAAATCACTGTGCCAAGACGTACCTACGCTACAGAGGCCTGAAGAGCTTTGGCTTCAGAAAGGTGAAAGGCAACTTCCTCTAGATAATCAGGCTATGAAGTGATGCCTTTCTTTCTAAAAGCCTCACAAAGGGAATTAACTGGCATGTTAATTCCCTATCTAAAGTGAAATCCAGTGACAACCTTTAGCAGCAATTTAGGGTAGAGGTTCAAGAAAACTCCTCTAGCAAAAAAAACCTAGGTATAAATCCCTGGATTTCCCCTTCTCTGTTTGCTGAGCCACAGTGAAAGAAGCCTTCATGGGTATATATATAAAGCAGTGAACAGGTTGCCATAAATTCAGTGGTAATCTCTTCAGGACTACTGGGATGGTCACTTCAACCAGAAAGGCTTTAATTAATCCTTTCAGAAAACCCAGAATCATGAATTGACAAGACACCAAAAGGCCATTTACTAGTCAGTTAAAATCTTTTAACCCAAACTGAGATATAACTTGCCTGAATGGATTGACAAGTCAAGCCTTTCAGCTCCAAGACAGGACATGAAGAAGCCAAATCATTCTTCAGGCACTGTGTGGGTCTTGTCATATCTGTATAGACCATCCATAGACTCTCTTGCACTCAAGCGAAGTTCTCTCTGGCATCTGATGGCACAGATTTATATCACAATAGCCACATATCCCTGCGTGGGCCAAGTGGATCTGCTGAATCTGGTCTTCACCTCCAGGAGAAGGTAACCCCGAAAAGTGATCCTGGGCAACATGAACGCTAGCTAACACTATGCCATGAGTTACTTAACCAACAGGTACCATGTACAGCAAAGGCTGATGAGCATCTTCAGTGGGATGGTCTCCCTTCAAGAGCAGAAAAAGCAAAATATCTCCTTCATTTCTAACAAAATTAAACAGGATCATGACCAAGTAAATAAAAACACAGACAAATATTTTACTAGAAAAGACCCATGCAATGGAAAAGATGGCACATACCACGAGGAATCTAGACATTCTCTAAGTTAGTGCTAAGAAAGACCCAGTGGTTATGGCCCATACGCACACCACCAACAAAGAAACAGCAGATGAGAGGTCCTGAAAGCAAAGTTTAAACCAGGAGGCTAAAAATGTGGTCCTACATAGTAGCATTCTGCAATGGTCCTGGTTTTATACACCATGTCAGATAACAGAGGCTCAGTCATGATTGATTAAACTCTGTAG